CCACAGGTGACCCGCATGGCGCAGGCAGTGAGACGCTTCGTCGGGGGCTGAGAGACTTGCTCACCAGATGCGACCACATTCCGTCGTCACGGACGCGTCACGGTGGTTCGGGAAGTCAAAGGAGACCCCCTCGTAGCAGAGACGACCTGCAGCCCCAGCACATCCCGGCCATCGCAGGGTCCACGCCGCCCCGTTCCCACGGGTGCTCCCCAGTCTGGGGGGAAGGTGAACAAGAGCCAGGTGGACGGGGGAAGGGACGCGCCGTCTGGACAGGGCTGAGGTCGAGGGAGAGGTGGGCTGTCTGAACTGGTGATGGGAGGGCGGGACTCGCCTCGTGTAACTGCTTGGCTTCTCCTCTGACGAAACCGGCTGCTGGAACTCGTAAAAGTCGGCCTGGGATCCTTGACTTCTGTAAGTGTGTTGCTGTGTCTGATTAAGGAGTCGAGCCACAGTCCTAGTTCTCAACTCTCGCTCCATACACGTTAGAACCACCGGCAAAGCTTAGAATGAAATGAAACGACAAACACACTACAGGACAGCACCGTGGCAGAGTCCGGGCCTGGGCTTCACCTCTGGTGGCCCCGACTTAACTGAACAGGGGTGAGCCTGGGGGAGGCCTTTTCAAAGGTGCCCTGGAGAGTCTAATGGGCCACTGCTGCGCTAACCAGTCAGAGTGTCTCCTGTTATCACCAAGGAGACGTCTCTCAATAACGATACAAAAGAAAGAACAACATAGGTCGCCAGCACTAAGCTCTGAATGAGTGACGGGCCCTGGGAGCTTGTCTCCATCCCGAGCACAAATTCGCTGCCGTCTGGGATCTGCTCAAAGCGAGGCAGCCTTGCTGGCCAGGGAGGTGTCGGTGCAAAGACTGGGACCGGGTTGGGGACACCGTGCTGGTGTTCAGGGGGCCTCCTGTCCCTGCTGGCCTGTCTCACCCTCCTGGACACCCTCAGGTCTCAGGGAAACTGATGTTGAGATCGCCCTCTGTACACAGCTTCACCTTTTAAAAACTTCTGGCTGAACTCACACACATAGAAAAACAATAGGAAACATTCCACACCCCGTCTCTGTTATCGACAGAGTCATGATTATTTCAGAAGTAGCCGACGGGCTCAAATGCACACAGAGAGGAATAAATGAGACAGAGAGAAGGAGCGCTGTGTGTCTGATGGGCGCAAGTCTGACCCCGTCACTGTCTGCAGGTGAGTCAGGGCCAGCATCGTCCCTGGGACGGTGCCCGCCTGTTTAGGAAGCTGTCACTTACTGTGTGTCTTTCAAAGTCAGGGCCACGTCTCTTGTCCATGCTGCGGTGAGGAGAAATCTGCCTTCTTGGTGGGTGACTTTTTTTTATGTGTGGTACAGAGACCAAGGAGTCAGCTACTGCGTGGTCTAGCAACTCTCACCTCCCTTTACTTTTTAAAAGTGTTCTGGCAGCGTCTGCATCTGTGGTTGTGAAGTTGCACAGGCCCCTCGGACCGTGAGGTCCCGTGAGGACATCAGTGCAGAAACACTCACTGCCCGGTGCTGGCCGGCCTTTGTGGGCTTTGTTACCGTGACCCAAACCTGATGCAGCCACGGTTTACAGAAAAACAAATCCTTGTCTCCTGCTCACACTGGCCGATGGCCTCGGTGGCCAGCCCGCAGTCACTCTCCACACAGCCTCTAATCAGGGACCTGGGATCAAGGAGCAGTCACAGGGGACACCCTATCCCTCAGCACAGAGAAGAGACAGGAGGACTGAAGAGAACTCGAAATAGGGTGACCTTGCCGCTTGCCTAAGGCCTGTGATGTGTTGTAATATTAGTGGGGCAGGAGCAGACTCGAGTCACAGGTCAGCGAGGCAGGACCTGCAGTCCCCTCACAGGAAGGGCAAGGGACAGCCAGCAATGATGGTGTAAATCTGCAACCAAAGCTACGTAGCCTCCCTCCGCCTGTGTCTCCTGCTAATGAAGGATGGGCTACAGACCCCCCCCATGGGGTCGTTGTTGGGAGTAAATGACGGGAGGCGTCAGTGGCATGGGGCACTCAGGCTCCCAGAATGGTGTTCAGAACATGCTCCTGTCCTTCCGCAGCGGGTGTCCTGCTGCACTCAGGGGGCCCTGCGTTTGGGGTAAGGACAGCAGCCTCCATGAGCTGGATGTGCCACTCAGGCAGAAGAGAAATGGGTGGGTGGGGGCACAGGCCGAGCGTGACCGGGCTCAGGGCAGGCCGGGGCAGCGCCGTCCTAGGAATCCGTCCAGGGGCTGCCGCCCCCACAGAGCCGCTGGGAAGCTCAGACTCCACGGAACCAGAGGACTCGGGGGCACCCCACCTCCCACTGGCTCGGACATGGGGACAGAAGCTGACGGAGCCTCAGCTTCCCCGTGCGTGAAGGGGAGGGTCGTGTCTGTCCAGAAGTGCGATCAGGAGGGCTGGAGACCAGGTAAGTGCACCATAAACTGTACTGTAGACGCCGACAAACAATTATGGTTAAAGATGAGACTCGGGGCTGAAACCATCCTCGTTTCTGGGACCATGAACTTCGGGCTAGAACTGTGTCGGCCAAGCCTCCTGGGTGATCCAAGGGAATATTCTCAGAAACCCGCCCTAGGAGACTGGTCTACGGGCTCTCGGAAGGAGTCCAGAGCCACGGCTTTAACCCTTTCACTTTGCAGGACGAGAAGACTGAGACCTAGTCAGGGGAAGTGGTTCCCCAGATCTTACGCGGCTGAGGAGTGAAAGGAATCGGAAACCCTGGAACACCCCGCTCATTCCCTGCTGCTGTTCCCCTTTATCGGGGTCCCCCCAAGGATTCGTGTTCCCCAAACCATCAGCCCAAGGGCTGGCCGTCCAGGAAGGAGTAGAGAAAATAGTCGTTGTTTTTTTTCACTTCTGACCGGCGCACAGTATTCGGAGGCACCGCGCACACGCCCGGCAGTGGGGTCTGCTGAGCAGCGCCAGCCACGCAGCCGGTCCAGGAACCTGGTTTGGAAGGGGTGCCGACATCCAGGGCACACGCAAGTAGCCGTGGGTTTCTCTCCTCATCTTTTTTTTTTTGCTTGCCTCAGTCCCACCACTAATTATTTCGTGGTCTTTCAAACCTTTTGTAGTGTCTCCTCGAGAAAGCCCTGAAGGGTATTAATTCTTAGCCACGGGCCTCCTAAATGAAGACCATTCTGCTGCACTTTAATGACAAGGCTGAGGCAGCAAGATGTCATTTGCTTTTTTCTCGGGTTTTAAATTGCTTTCTAAATGAACTACAGCTGTGAGGGCCAGGTGCTGTGATCCCTTTAGAAAGATCAGGAAATGATGAAATCCAAAATTTCAAAGTGTGATGGATGTCAGCTCCCGATTTGGCGTGTGTGAGGTCACCCTGTGCACCTGGTGCCGTCTCCACAACGGAGTCACTTTTCTGTGTCGGGGGAGAGGGGCGAGCGGGCGAGGGAGCCGCACGCACATGTCTAACGCGCGCGCGACAATAAGAGAAACAGTTTATAATTATCTCTTTGTCTGCGCCTCATCTGGATGGAGATGGCGGGCCCTGCCTCCCCGCCCCCACCCCGTCCCCATTATAGGTGTCGCCGCCGTGTTAAAAAACGGGACTTTTGTGCGTTGTGGAGCTGGTGCGGTGGAAACCCAGAAGCCACTAAAAAGCAAATGACATGTTATGGTGACGGGAGGAGCGGAGGGAAGGGGGGTGGGGGTGTGGGCAGTTTGTTAATACTTTTATTCACTTCCTCTGGGGACATCAGAACCCTTAACATCAGGAGCCCTGTCTGCTCTGGGGAGCCAGCCCTGGAGCTCCCTGACCCTGCTCTCCTAGACCCCCTGCAGGGAACTCCTTGCATCTTGAGTCGTGATCCCCCTCATCTGTGCAGTGGGGAGAGGCACGCTCACCCCGTGTGGGCATGGGCCAACTGGCATTGCCTGAGACAGCGCCCAGGAGAGCGTGCGGCACACGGTCAGGGGGGAGAAGCGGTGGTCTCCCCAGCACCACGGGCTTGACTTTTTTTTTGTAGAAATTATATCTATTCTAATGTAGCTTAAGAATACATGGCCTTTCTGGGTCTCACATTTCAATGTTGACTCACACCCAGCTGAGTAAATTCACAATAGATCAAACCCTCAAATATAGTTCTCACCTTTCTTCAATGAAGGTGGTCTCTTAAAATCAAACATAAGATGTAACCCCACCCCAAACACAGGTTAAACTGGATTTTGCTGTATTTACCGCCATGCCTTTTGATTTTGTGCTGACCCAGCGTGGGGCTTAAAGATGCAGTTTGTCATTAAGCGCCTTTTCCTAGGCTGGCACTAGTCTGTTCACCTGCATCATTGGGGGCAGAGACTTTTTTCCACTGATAAATCCTTGTGAGTCTAACAGCAGCCAATGGGTCGCCTGCGTTCAGACCAGAACGTCCCTAGCCATCTTTCAAAGGGCCTTGCTGAAGTTCTGCCCTGTGCGCTTTCCCTGAAATACCCGTCTGAGACGCCAATGACGTTGAACATGGCAGTCGCTGTGTGCATGCCCATGGCATCGCTCTGCCTTAGGGCTACTCCTACGAGGCCCCCCCCACACACATGCCCTCACCGGGAATTCAAAGCAACCCCATGACGCAGGGGAGACCCCCTCTCCCATTCTACATACGAGAATGTTGACGAATACTGATCAGTAATGGCCGGAATCAGAGTGGTCGACCTGCAGGCTATCGGCCACCCACTGCACAGTGGGGTCCCCCCTCCGTGCACTCAGGTGGCATTAGACCCATCGCCCACACCTACAGCCCCGACCTTTGACACGAATGAGTCTGATAGTCAGTTTGGCTTGTTCTAAACAGTCCCTCTACAACACCTAGAATCCTGTGACCCCGCAGTTTGGGGGTCCCCAGGGTTCACCTCCCACTGCCTCCCCCACATCCAGAATCCGCACTACAGATCACCCCACGGGCCAGCCCCCCACCTCTACCCTGGCTGTGAGCAGAGCACCTGTCTTCATGAAGCTTCTCTTCTCCCCTGGCAGGTGGGCGAGTGCCCCAAAGGACCAGGAAAAGCTCCTGCTGCCTTCTCCCGCGAGGCTCCAGATCGCTCCCTGCTACCTGCCCAGGTAGAGTCCCTTTCTCCCTCAGGCAGGTGGAAGGGGGCCTTGGCCTCCCTTCCCCAAACAGTGCTTTCCCCAACCGCGTCACCCGCCCACCCACGGCCCCGCCCCGCATGCACTCCCATTTCTCCACCTCCGAAAATGTGCTGCCTGCCCGTAATTAGGCTGAATGCTCCAGATGTGCCGTGACCGGCCCACGCTTATTTCCCCTTTTGTTCTGGGCTGCGCTGTCTCCTAATGCTGTTTACTGCTTCTTCTGTCGTCGTTACTTCACGCTGCAGCCACTTCTGATCCCGAGACCCCTGAGCCGGGGGCCCTTCCCTCCCGCACAGCTGAGCACCACCCCACCGCGGGCCCTGCACGGTCCGTCACTCTGACCTCACTGCCGTCCTGCCCATCTCGTACCTGCCCCTGCTGGATCCCGTCTCAGTTTTGGCTCATAATTCAGTCGCTGGACCTGACCTTCTCTGTATTTACTCTTTGATAGCTAAATGCTAATTAGCATGTCTTCTGGTTTTTCAGCAGAATTTGGCATGAAAACAGCACGTAACTTTTAGGAACGAGGCCTTCTGGCTCTGGTCACACCCTCGTCACCCCTCTCTGGTGCCCCTGCCTATCAGGTTGCCGTCAGCTCCACTCTGGACGCCGTGGGGACACAGAAGCGCACAACACACGGGACCTCGGACTGGGGGGGCGTCCAGCGCACATGGAAGCAACCAGGTGAGAAACAAGAGGGCTAGGTGAGACGCTGGCTTAAATGGGACCAAACTTTTAAGAACTTTAAGGGAGAGAGTTGTCAGGGTTGGGGGGGGGGTTTAAGTGGGTAGAATGTGGACTTGGAGTTGCACACAACTGCAAGATGCCTCGTTCTGTGTTGGAAGTAAGTTACGTACCAAGGGCCCAGGACAGGGTCAGGCTGAGCCGTCACCTGTGGGGGAGGCGTGTGCGGTGAGCCAGCAGTGCGCACCGAGGACCCGAGATCAGGACACACGGTGGCGTCTGAGGGCAGGGAGCGGCCCATGGGTCTGGAACACGGGTAATGACAGGGAGGCAGACACCTCAGAGCGGCAGCAGGTGGGCAGGGCACAGGTCAGGCTGCCCCGTGGGACCCTTTAGGAATATTGGCTTTTAGCTCTGGCTGGTGAGGCTCAGTGGATTGAGTACCAGCCTATGAACCAAAGGGTTGCTGGTTCAATTCCCAGTCAGGGCACAGGCCTGGGTTACACGCCAGGTCTCCGGTAGGGGACACATGAGAGGCAACCACACATTGATGTTTCTCCCCCTCTCTTTCTCCCTTTTCCCACTCTAAAAGCCAAAAAAATATTGGCTTTTAGTCTAAGTGAGAAGGGGAGACATTGCAGGGCTTTTAAGAGAAGGTTGATGTAAATTATACTTTCACAAGATAATTCTGGGTGTTGCTTTGGGAAGAGACTGTAGGCAAGCGGAGGCAGAGCAGGAAGACCAGTTAAGAAAATGTATCAGTTTTTGCCACATAACAAATCACCCCCGAATCTAGCAGCTTAACACAATAAGCACTCGTCACCACCTCACAGGTCGGCCACATAGTCCTCTGGGCTGCGTGGGGCTAACACAGGGGTCTGCTCCCCTGTTTGCTGGTTTGCCAGCTGTGGGCCGGTCTAGGTGCCTGTGGGGGGGGGACAGATGGGTTCCGCTCCAGCGGTCTGGCCTGGGCTTGATCACCGAGGGAAGGCAAGATTTCAAAGGAAAACGTGAACTGAAGCTTAGGCTCAGGGCTGGCGTTCAGGCCACGTTCTGAGCGAGCAGAGGCCGGACTCAATTGCGTGTGAGGGGCAAACTTCCCCTCTTAGGTGAAGCGAAGGCAGAGACTTCGCTCTTTGGACAAGTTGCCAATGTTGTGGCCACCAGGAGGCTGATGGCTGTGGCCAGTTTTGACATCGTTCTAAAAGGGCGGTGGTTGAATACAGGTGAACATCCAGGGGAGAGACGGCTTTCATAGGAGTGGTGTCCCAGAAGTGGGAATGGCAATGGACGTGATGAGTTCTGGAGTGGGGACGTGTTCACTGGTGCGAGGGCTGGACAAGGATGCTTCGTTTCGGGCCCACAGAAAACAGAAAAATCGTGTTGCAGATCAATGAGATGGGGCATGATGACCAAGGGCAGGTCAGAAAGGGCAGTTAGGTCAGCTTGGTGGTACGCATCACATCCGAGAGGCGCGTCGCACTCCAGGAGGGTCCCCAGAGGGGAGCAGACCCTGTGAGCGTGGACTTCGGGGGAGGGCCGACGTGTCGGTGCCGTTCCGGACGGGGCACTGCCTGTGTTGACGGGAAACGCGAGATACTCTAGTAGAGGGGGAGTTGGGTGATGAGAAGAACTCCAGGGGTGGAGCGCCGGGACTCCAACACGGGGGCAGGGGGAGGAATGAAGGGGACGGAGACTCCGTGACCAGAGTCTTGTGACCAGGGAGGGGTAACTGGAGCCAGACGAAGAGTGTGCCAGGTGGGTGAGCGGCAGCAAGTGTGGACACAGGCCGGAGACAAAGCTGGTGGGAAGGTGAGGCCGCCTTAGGACGAGCCTCACAGTCACGCGAGGAGGAGGACCTGGTGGGAGCCAAAGCTGCGACTGTGGTACCACAAGAGAGTCCCTGCCTGTCCCCGTGGATGGGGGTGGCAGTCCGAGAAGCCCAGTGTTTCTGACCCAGGCCTGCTGAGCAGACTGTTCAGGACAGGGTGGGTTTTGCAATGCATCATGGTCCTGAAGGTGACCTGGGTCTGCAGTGACCTCTGGTCATGGACACGTGACAGATGCACAAGGCCACGACCCCTACCCTTCCTTCGCTCCCTCCCGACCTGCCATAGACCTCCCGGCACTGCGGGAGCCGGCGGTACATGGTGCCGTGGGGTGGCCGGACAGGTGGGGTCCCGGGGCACGTCTTCCACCCGCCCCTCGGGAGGGGACATCTCGAGCTCCGCCACTGCAATGGCTGAGGACTGGAGTCGCAGATTCGCCGGCGAGGGCGCGGTTTCATTTTACCATCCTGTATCAGATCTCTGCCTCTCGCAGTGTGGGCCCACCAGGCGGTGACACTGTTAACTGTTACTCTTCTCACTTCCTTTTCTCCCCTCACTGAGCGTAAACATATCATTACACAGTTACACGCCACTATATTTAGCGTGGATTTTTAACCATCTATTAAAACAGACAGGAGCCGAGCTGTGCTACCTGGAGTCGGCGGGACCGGCAGGGAGGGCGGGCCCTTTGCTGGGGAGGGGAGGGGGAGCCGAGGGCCGCATTGCCCACCTCACTCCCAGGGCCCTCCCCTCTGTGTTCTGGGGACACGAGCCAACCCTCTTCACTGGGGCACGGCCAGCACCTAGCCCTAGCTGCCCTGAAAACGTCCTGTTTGCCAGCGATGCGGCCTTCAGCTTGGTCAGCTTGTACACTGAGGGGACACACAGGTGTCTGGCGTCCATTCCGAAGAGATGCCAGGGGCAGGACGTGCTCTGCCCGTCTGTTTGGGGAGCAGGCTTGCAGATGGGTCTGTGCCCCGCCTGCTCCGCGGTGCCTTGCGGCAGGTGGGCCTGGGAGAGGCAGCGAGGAGCTCCGTGCAGAGAGCACCCGACCTCGACCGGCCCTGTTGCACTGGACAGTCTCCGACTGTTGCTAAGGCCCATTCATTCTGACAGGACTGACCGTGGGTGACCCTACTCCCGTTCATACTGGTGTGGTAGTTCACAACACGCCACCCGGGCTTCGCTCGTGGCCGTGTCACGGCGACGTGTGGCGGGTGTGGTTGTTTTCTCCATCTTGTGCCCCGAGAAGCCGAGAAATGGGGAGGCGGCAGAGACGGCGGTGGGGGAGCCTGGAGCCAGAACACGGCTCTTTAGGTTTCCGCCCCGTCTCGCATTCCGTAGGCCCGACAGCCCGAGAGTGTAGCGGGGAGGAGCAGAGGCCTTCTGACGATGCTGAGGAGTGCGCGGGGGGGGGGACGTGGGCGCCAGGCACTGCTGACTGTGGGTGGCTCTCTCTGTGCGGACAGGACACTTGGGGGAATAGAGATCAGGAGGGCACTGCTGTCACGCTACCAAGTGGCCAGGTGACCCTGTCTACATCGTTAATTCTTCATGCCCTCTAACCAAATCTAATTACGATGTGGTCCGCCAGAATATGGCCCTGTGGTCAAATTCAGCTCTGTCCCCCCGGGGAGCTCCACCATCGACCACCAGGCGTCTGCCAGCTTTGTCACGAGGCGGTTGCTGCTTCCCTCCTGGACGCTCCACTCATTTTCTGATTTGTCGGCTAATATTTTCCCCATCGTCTCACACTGTCCTCTATCTGCCTCTTCTAGCATTAAAACGAGTGTCAGAATCTCAGACAGCAGGGAGGACCTAAGAGAATCGCCAGAATCCAGCTCACTGTTACTTGTTTGGAAAGCTATTTTTCAGTTTGTACACCAAGCTTTTTATGAGTCGTTCTCGTCTGGAATGGAATCATGTCCTCCCGGTGAATGGGCTGGCGCCTCTCTCAGCTTTCCCGTGACAAGGAGATGCTGCCCGTTTGGGTGCGGAGTGGCCGATCACGCCGAGGTTTCTGCCGCTCGTTAAGGTCCTAGTTCTGGGTGGGCCGTGACCGAGTACAGAACGAAGCCCTGTGTCCATGGATGACTTGAAGGCCTTTCCTAATTCATTTTAAGGACATGGTGACTTCATTGTTTGCGGAACATATATTGTTGAGTATCTATTTTTGCCGGCTGCTGAGGATTCAAAACCAAATCCCTTCCTTCCAGTAGCTCACAGTCTCTCTCAGGAGCTCATCCTTCATTCATGCCTAAGAATAATTAAAATAATGTGTGGCCAGTCAATCAAATTAAAACAAAATGATGGTCATAGAAGCACATACGTGCTGCTCTTAACAGATCAGAGCTCGCCAGCAAACCTCGCCTGTGCCTGTGTGTAACGGACCCCACTTGGCATGTGCAGAGCCCACGCACAGAATGGGTTCCTGGCTCGGGGCTCTGCACTTGGCGTGGGGACAGAAGATAGACATTCATAAAACCAAAACAGAGAACAAACTAAGATAAATGCACCTCCCCTAAAATGACAATAGATATGAAATAGTCCCAAGAGTGTAAAATTTCCTGCAAAGAATGGTAGAAAATAAGATAAATTTGGTAAGAAAGAGTTCTCTCTGCTTTATTTTGGGTGAGTGAGATGTTTTCAGGCAAGAAGAGGGTCCTGAAGGATAAATATTTTGTGAGCGGGAAGGCAGACGAGAGGTTTCCCAGGAGACACTGCTCACCAAGTCTCAGAGCCGAGGGCCGCTGCGGTCTGTGAAGGGCGCAGGAGACGAGGCAGCGCCCCTGCCGGCCTCCCGACCATGGGGTGCGAGGCCCCACATCCCCCACCCCACTCAGGGCCTGTCTCGCCCGGACACTGTGCGCAGGTCTGCTCTTTCTTGAGGACTCTGGTGCCTCGAGTCCTCTCCTGCTTTTGGGCGCTTCCTTCTGCCTGGGGTGCCCTGCTCTCTGATGTTCTCGTGAGCAATTCTCTCCTGCTGATCACGTGCCAGCTCATCAGAGGGGTCTTCTCCGACCCAGCAGTCTGAGACCTCCGCACACATTACAGCCTCTCCTGTTACTAACTTAATCCTCGCCAGAGTGCTTAACACAGCCTCGCGGCTCTACCGTGCTTACCGTTTGACTACAGGGCCGGCCGTCTCCTCTCTGTAAGGCTGCCGAGACAGTTAACTTCGGCCAGACCTGGCTATTTACTGTTAAACGCGGATTAACCGTACTTACTAAGTTGTTCAGTGCTGGTGCGCAGTCTTAACAGCCACATGTCATCTGCTCAGGAGTCCCACGTGGTTAGTGGCTCTGGGGTGTTTGGAAATGCAGCCGGCAAACACTTGGCCATCACAGAAACTTCTGCCGGACACGGAACGGTCCTTGAGTGTGAGCTCATGGAGGCCCGGGGCCTTGTTCGCCCCTGTATCCGCTGTGCCCTGAAGAAATCTGGGACGAGGACATTTGTTCTCCTAGTGAAGGGCCCGGGCTCCTACAGTGAAAGCACCGTGTGCAGTAGGAAAAGGGGTAAAGGCTGGATTTACGGTTTGGTGAGGATTTTGACAGAACTCCCTCCCAGGCTTAAATACGGGCTTTGTACTCGTAGAAGTCAGGTGACGGTGACGAACGGTTTTGAAGTGGAGAGTCACACGACTAAATATCCAGTGACAATGATTGTCCCGCAGCACAAGCAGGACAGGTGGGAAAGGGTGGACTGAGGGCGAGGAGACCAGCCAGGCGATCGGCTCGTGGGGAAGACAGGAGGTGACCAGGGACCGGACCGACTCTAACAGGGAGCGTTGGTCCGAAGAGGTGGCCACGTATCGAGGCCACAAGCAGCCTGGCCTCTCTGTTGATGTTTGGTTTGCACAGAATGTCCCGTGAGAAGCCTGGACGGAGGCCCTGATCTGCCTCCAGGACACGTGACTTCCTTAGTCACCGTGGTGGGGAGCAGAGCCTGGCCATCTCGGGGGGCTTTCCAGTCCCCCACAGACGCCACACGTGCCGTTTCCGTGACACCGAGAGCCGGAACTCGCCACTGGGCTCTGCCACCTGCAGGTCCCCGGGGCACTTAGGGACGGATTGGCCGTGTGAGTCAGTCCGGCTGCCACACTGCTGACGCTCTGTGAGCACACAGGGGAGGGGAGAACCCCACGCACCCAGGAACGTGCCTGCCCATGCGGACGTTACGTGTAAGTAGACTTCACAGAAATCGTCGCTGTCCAGAGTGAGGCCTCTGCAGGAAGTGGTCCCGAGCAGAGCATCCGGCCGATGACATGTGAACAGTGACTCGGGCCTGGTGCCACCGACGGGGTCAGGCTCTGCAGACACGGGAGCGAGGGAGGCGGCCGTCGGCCCCAAGCGGCCTGCCCTGAGATCTTAGTCCAGGGGACGAGCAACGAGCCACCAGTTCAGCAGTTTGCAACCTTTCTGTCCCGTGGCACAAAAACGAATCACTAAAATTCTGCAGCACACCAGAAAGTGCATTTTTTTACTGATCTGACAAAAGATGGGGATAATCTTGATTCAGTCGCACCAGGCAGCTATTATTGTGTTGGCTGTTGTCATTTTTTGAGTTGAAAACCTGGGGGAAAAGGGTCAGGGCCCTGACTGGGCGGGTCTCACACGTCTTACCAGTTCTTGTGGCTCACGGGTGGAAAATCACTGACCAATTCATAAGTAGAAAATCACTGACCAATTCATAATTCGCAATTATGACTTTATCTGCTAAAGAGGACATGTAGGAACCTACCATAAGAACCGTTGGATTTTGTAATGCTAACTAGCAATCGTTCTGTCATTTCTGTCTTTGTTCTCGTAATATTTTCATCAATCCATGTCTCCGCTGGGAATTTGGAGCATTCCTCAACTGAAGACGCCTTAAAAAGAGAATTAATATCTATGTGTGGTTGATAGGGACTTCAGTGGGCAACCCAAGTACTTTACTCACTGATATCCTGCCACCGAGGTCTGTTCGGTGACTTAGCTTCTATTTACGCACCTGAGCCGCGGGCGGGAGTGGCTACCTGGCCTGTAGCATGCGCCACGAAACACAAAACTGCCGCATCAGCTCCCCCTTCCTGTGCCGACCCCGCACCCCTGCAGGGCGCTTGCACCCCACCGGAAGTCCAAGTCCTGAGTGAACACCGCTGTGCTACAAAAGTCAGGCTAGACACTAAGAACTGGGCGGTGGCAGCCTCCTCCGTGACCATGGAGTGAGTTCTCATTCAAAGACCAGAGTCGTCTCCGTGCAAGGTCCCAGGTGTGGCTCACACTGATGGCCACGTTTGCCGGGTATCTCTGTTACATTGTGTTCTTTGAGAACTGTGGACACTGGCCAGGTATGACCAGCCCGGAAATGTCCCCCGCATCGATAATCCATTGTATTTTCTGTCGTTGTCTTTTCCTCTTAACGAAATTGATTTCTGAACCGCCCACCTCTGCCAAGTGCCACTAGGTTCCCAAGGACCTCTGTCTCTGTAGCAGACACGCGATGGAGAGAGCTGGCGGCTGGGACTCCCCCCCCATGAGACTGCACGCCCCACGGATACGCCCGACCCTGCCCATCCACCCCGCTAAAGACACAAGGCCCTGAAGACCCCAAGCCCCTGCTCTTAGCGGATGATTGATTCACTTGTAAGTTTGAGGGAATTTCCTTCCAAGCAACCGGTTCACATCTAATTTCAGAATCGCAGCCACCGTTCTACCCTGCTATGAGTATCCCATCAGGGTGAGTTCATTCCAACTTCGCACACAGCTGCTGCTGCTTCAAAATCTTCCCTTGGGGGCTCGGAGCCCGAGGTCACAGCACTGGGGACGGTCACCCAGGGGACATTGGGCTTCTCACCCCCAGGCCACCCCTTTTGCTGTACCAGCCTCACGCCCAGAAAGCCGAACACTCTCACGTTCCCTTCACGAACCTTTAATTACAGGGCAGTGTCCCCGGCTCTTGCTCACGGTGACAGCCAGGAATGAAGTGACAGTAACTGGCTTTTCCCTCTGGCAGTGGTGCCAAAGGGGGTCTTTTTCAGAGGGGGGGCAGCTTAGACATCTTTCAACCTTTTCCTACATCGATTAGGTAAAACTTTTATTTCAAGCTGTTTATCAGAACTTACTAGGCTATAGCGTATTTACTATACTCAAAAACTGAAACTCGATCTTTTTCTTCTGCGAAGTTTGATCAAAAAAGTAACATAACGGCAAAGAGTTAATAGACATTCCTTTTGGAGCAACTTTATTTTGTTGAGAAAAAGTCAGTTAAATTTAAAATTCTGTGGAGAAAATTCACTTATTATAGAAAGAAGAAATCTGCTGAACTGCCCCAAAATAACTCGGGTTTGAGCGCTCCCAGCTTGCCGGCTCCATCAATACGCTCACTGACTACCCCAGTCCCATCTGCCGGAGCTACCTGGCTTCAGATGGGCTGGTATTTGCGAGCTGAATTAATGAAGAATGCAGGATCTTTAGAAAAAAAAGACCCCACTTGATACATATTTAAACTGGAGTTATCATATATATTGGGGTGTTCCTTGTGTTGCTTTTAATGATAAAATACAGACAAAATATGTCAATTCCCAGAGAACTCTTACCTGACACAAATCAATCCCACAAAGCTTAATGTGAGATGATGGAATAGAACAAAATAGGAAAGTTTGAAGAGGATTCTTTAAAACTAAACAGAATTCCAGGGCAGTGCGTTTGGACTGGATGCGGACGAAATAATTTGTTCCTCAATCTAAGTGGTCTAGGTTAGTGACTTATTCTTTCATTCGCCGCCCATGGTTGTAAGAAATAGCTAATGATTTTGAGTGCCATCTCCCTCCCTTGCAGATGCCCAGACCAACCCGATGACATCTCGTGGGACCGTGCAAGCCCGGAGCATTGGCCCCGAGGAGCCTGGAGCTGGATCTGACCGGAGCCTGGGGTGAGCAAATGAACCCCTGTCTACGGGCTGTCTGCGCTCTGGAGGTGAGGTGCCTCCCTATGGCAGCAGGGCAGCAGCTAGTTTTGTGAAATGTATCCAATGTTCCTGACACATTTTAGTGTCTCTGATAGCGGCCCATGGAAGGGTGCACAGAGCTGGGGCAGGGAGCAGCTGGGAAGGGGAGTTCTCTTTCCTGGGTGCAAACGCAGGAGCTGGGGATTGGCGCCCCTGTGGGGGGTGGGGTGGCAGCTAACCCCCTTTCTAGCCTCTTCTAGGCTCCAGGAGTTTTGTGATCCCTGAACCCAAAGCGTTACTGCGGAGCACTCCGACCGTCCTGATACAAATGTAAACTTCTCTGCACGGCCCCACACATGCAGGTAAAGTAGCTCTTTTCAGTGCCACCATTTTGGACTGAAAAGGACATGGTGTCCAGGTGAGTGGCCTTAGTCCGTGAGGTTCTCACAGGAGCAGTCAGACCGGAAGCAGCCGGTGCTCAGAGGGGGTGACAGGGGAGGTCAGGGCAGGACCCAGGAGGGGCTTGAAGCCGTTAATGGCAATGCTCTCACACTGCAATCCTGCGGCGTTGAACTTGAGCGCCCCAGAGGCAGGGAGAGTCCTCTCCTCCTGGCCCACCAGATGTGGGATGGAACCATCACAGCAGGAAGCACTGGGTGCTAAAATCTTATTTACACTCACTTTCACCCAGTAACAGGGATGCTGATACTACCGCCGAAGTGTGTTGGGCCACACTGAGGGGGCAGCAGACCCGGATCGGGGAGGCCACTCCTGAGAGAAGGACGGGGACAGAGGGCTGGGCCATCTGAAATGAGGGGCAGAGCTTGTCCTCGCTGGGGAGACCCCTGGTCCCAGCCCCAGCCCGAGCCCAGAGTCTGCCCAGCTCCCCAGGCTGCCGGAGCCGATGCCTGCGTGGAGTGGCTGTTGTGCCAACCCACCAACACCAACCCCCCAAGGCTCTGACTCCTGGGGACCAGGGAACTTAAACTGAGTCAGCAGGAAAAGCCACAGGGACTGGGGGCTGCCTGGGGATCCATTCCCCATCCTTTTCTTTACGCATTTATTTTTTCCTTCAATAAAGGCCTCCTGAGTGCGTACCTGTGGGTTCGTGGACTGACCCGTACACGGGGGCAAGGACACACCTAAGACAGTGTGTCCTCCTGTGGGTCGGTGGCAGTTTTAATCATCAAGGGGACTTGCCCACGAGGCTTGTCTTGGGACACGCGACAAGCAGACCTCTGCATCGCCTGCCAGCATCTTCAGTTCACAGAGAGGCCTTACCGGGGTTCAGTCTCGTCGGCCACCCGCGGGGTCCCGATAGTACACTGCTCTCTCGAGGCTGGGTCCCCACAAACAGCTCTGCGGTGGGAGCAGAGGGTGAAACCTCCACTTTAAGGACCGGGAGGAGGCCAGGCGCCTCGACTGCCAGGGTCCAGCTCCTAGGTGACATCCTCACAATGACCGTCATTGTGTGTGTGGCCCAAGTCGCAATGTGGGGACACGGTAGGGAATAAAAGGGCCCCAGGGACTGGCCGTCAGCAGAGGAGATGGCCCACAGACCAGCAGCAGGTGCGTGGGCAGCGCCAGCTGGTGAAGAGACAGGGAGGGTGTTCCTGAGGAGGGGACGTCAGGGCAGAGAGAGAGCTGAATGGAGGGAGCCATGGGATACCTGGGCACAGCGTGTCCCCGGGGCAGGGAGGGGCTTGGATGCGGAGGGTCAGCAAGAGCATCTGCAGGAGGAGAAGTTGTGGGGCTGAGACCCCAAAGCAGAGCGTGCAGCCAGGAGCGCCTTGTGACACCCAGGTGCACCTTGTGACACCCAGGTGCGGGGGACGGGTTTGCGAGAGAGAAGGGGTGAGGTGGTGAGAGCTGGAGGGATGGGGGGCCCGTGAAAGAGCCACTGACCACAGCCTCTGGGTCTGCGTGAAGGCATCCACGCCCCACAGAGCATCACAAGTGCCCCGGGTGTGCGAGGCTCTGGCCCCGAGACTTGTGGGACGTTCTCTGCGGCCGCGGAGTGCACACACCAGCTGGGGGGCACGCGGACATGCAAGTGGCCAGGACAAAGCCCGAGGCTCGGCGGCAAGACCTGACTGCGTGGATACCGAGTGCTCGCATTCGCCTGGTTTTCCGCGTGCACGTGTGGTCCACAGTGTGATTTGGGAGTGTCCAACGCATGAACAATTTTCAAAGGCTGACACTGTTACATCTTGTCAGCCCAGAGACACGAGACCCACACCCTGTGGTCCCGAAGCTGACAGCTAGCAGGCCCGTCTTCTGACAGGCTCTGTGCAGGGCCTCGGGGCTCAAGCTGCCTTTTTAATATATGCTCCTGGGTTCCTTAATAGCATGTTTTTAAAAATTGTTTTGTTTTGTTTTGAATGAATACCCTACACAAGTATTGGTAACACACCCAGGAGGGAGACTCACTCAGCACCATTCACGGCTCTGCCCCCGGCCCTTCTCCGTCCAGATGCAGGGAAGCCCAGTGCGCATGCTCAGTCCCAGCTCCTGCGACAGCAGCCACTTCACACGGTTTTGTCCGAGGAGCTGCAGTGGGTGTTCGCTGGGAAAGTCTCCTCTTCCTCTAAAAAAAAAAGAGAGAAAAATGAAAAAGGAAAAGAAAGGAAAAAAAGTCGTGCCAATAAAGTTTTGTTTTTTTTTTCAAAAAAAATTCCTTTTCTGTGTTCTGATTCCGGGAGATACAGCCGCCCTCTCGTGGTCCCGAGGACGAACGGGGGGATGGGAGTCTCCCGTGGGCTGTTGGACTGTTCACGGAGGATATTCTCGCAGCACCTTGAAGACCATGGATCTCACCAACCCGTAGACTTCATGCCAAGCCAGGAGGTGGCCCCTCTGCCTAGGAGTGGTTTCCCAGGAATGGTCCCATGTTTAACAGATTCCTGCTGCAACCAGCTGAACAAGTGTGTTCCACCCATTTTTCTATCTACTGCAGGCTAGAAGAGAACCTAGGGCTCAAAGGGGTCATGAGGTTCCGTAATGGGGCAGTGGAGGAAACTGAGGCTCGGAGGGGTGGGGCTCTAAGGAGCAAACACAAAAGCCGTGGTGGTAGGTTCCCTGCCCCCCAGCCCAGCACTCCCCTCCCCAAACTGAATCGGCGTGTCCCTGTGAGAACTCAGTACTGCACTCCCTCCCATCTTCCCAGGGCGCTGCTGGCCCGTGGGAACAGTTGCTGGTACCCTTCATTATCCAGAGATTGTGGAGATCAGGGGGCTCGGATGGAGGAGGGGTTGGGGCTGCTGGAAGGTCAGGCACCCCCAGTGTCTGTCCACCACCACATTGGCATGAGGGTGACCTGTGGGATAGGACAGTAAGTCGATCACCGACCACAGATGAACACAAATGCATGTCTGTTTTTGAAATGTTTATGGTTAGAAAAAAAAATCTTGAGATTTTTTTTTTTTTTTTGCAAGATAAAAGAGTGGGGTGGATCACTTTCATAGCAATGATGTAGAAAACCATTAGGCAGGGAATCCGCAAAGGGAGCAAAGAGCAAACGGAAGCCCTGGGTCGGGGAGAGGAAGGATGCTTGTGTGTGAGTGTGCAGCTGGGGGCCATGGACAGACAGGACGTCGCCGTGAGGAAAACAGACTTGGCGGAGAGAGAGGAACAGTGGGAAGGCACTCAGAGGCACAGCAGGGGACTGCCACTCTCACCCCTGTCATCTGTCCTGTAAGAGGACGTTCATTCCTGCCGCTCACCAGGCAAGAGAGTGCATCCCCGCCACGTGGACCTGGGTTGGAAGGCGGAGGCGGCAATCTGTCCTGCTCTTGTCCCTCTGCCGAGAGCTCCACAGGTGCTGCTCTTCACCTGAGAGGAGGGGATGGGACAGGAAGGGTGGGACGTGCCCGGAGCAGGGTGGAGCCCATATGGAAGCCTCAACTGTCCGACGGCACAAAGCTTGGGGGGAGGGTTGCTTAGCAGAAACTGGCCGTACCACAGTTTCTTATTAAGATCTTTCAGGTTATTTTAATAACATGGTCCTACCACACAATCAGGCAAAAGGGAATGAATGACTCCGTGTGGTACAATATCACAGGTGACCCCATTGGCCCCCAGCTGTGACCCATGAGTCAAGACACGGGCTGGGGTCCCGGGGCCGAGCCCATGCCCGGTGGACGCCTGCTCCCTTTATCTTTCCATCTCTGCCACGTGTGTCTCCCCTTCCCTCACTCTCCCAGCCCGTCCTCCGAAATAAAACAGAGTAATACCCCTGCACCAGCAGTGCGGGGACGACAAACTGCCGCTGCAGGGCCCAGGGGCTGCTCAGAAGGCTGCATAAACACCGGCTCTAATTACGAACTTAGTACGGCCGGGATCACAAAGGCACTGACAACCAGCATGCGGCCAAAGCTGCGGGCCCTCAACCGCACAGGAGAGGAAGCACTACACTGACAGAGGAAGCAGGTTGTCCAGGGAAACCGCCGCCCTGCAAAGCCCGTGCCCACAGAGTCCCGGTCCCCGAGCAGGTGAGCGGCCCTCGCCTGCCCAGACATGGCCTTCTGACCCCTCTCTCTGCGTGGGCAGACGCCACAGGCCAGACTCTGGGTCCGGCCTGGGGAAATGATAAGACATAGGTTCCCCTTGGAGCAGTGAGGACCCCTGAAAGACAAGGGGACCTAAGCTGGAAGTCGCAGTGTGATGTGGAGGGTGGAGACAAGAGGACTGCGATGTGGGGGCCCTTGGAGGGAGAGTCTGTGCAAAAAGGGAGTGTCACAGAGGACACGGAAGACACCAGCCCGACGGGTACACAGCGCTCCTGCTAAGCCCCCTCCAGGTCAGGAGCCACCGTGGAGGTGGCTCCGTTGTGAGCAGGCATGAAATCAGAGCCCCTGGTGTTGGGGGAAATTGATAGCTATTTTAAAATATAGCACAGCAATCAGGGGACTGTTTTTATAGCCCGGGTGTTTAACAGCCCAGTGATTTGTCTTGTTTCTTCTGGCTTATCACCTACATACCAGAGATAGTGAAACGCTCTGCTTTCTGCCTCTGTAAACTGTCTCCTGCCTTGGTCTGAAGGACAGGCCTCTCCCCCTGCTCTATCCCGCCCCTGCTCTATAAAATTACTGCTTTCCCTTTGTTCGAGGCCCAGAATTTGGAAACTGACTCTTCTGGGCCAGCGTGTAAAATAAACTTCCACTCCGTACACCTGAAAGCGGCTGAGTTGTTTTCTGTAACACTGGCTTGAGAGCCCCTTCTCCGCCCAACAAAAGTGTGACTTTCCTGGTCTTCACAGGCACCTGCAGCCTTCCCTGACCTTGAACTGCCCTAGCCAGAGAGGCCTCTCAGCTCCTGTCTGGAGCCACACAGCCTCCCCATCCCCAGGTTCTGGAAGGCCCTCGGAGGCTTATTCCCAGAGAAGCAGGCAGGCTAGTGAAGCTCTGCCCCCCCGCGGAAGGCCGGGGTGGGGTGGGGTGGGGTGGGATGCAGGCATGGCTTGTGGGGTTGGGAGCTGTGAGGGGTAGGGTGATGGTTTTCTCCTTTGGGACTCTTCTTCACCACTTGGTCATGGTTCATTATCAAGGCCAAAGACCGGCCCATCAGAGACAAAGGTTGGCATTTACGCAATTACCGTAAATACCAGTTGGGTCTTTCAGGTGTAAACCCTGAGAAAGAAGACACCTGCTAAGAAGGGCTCCTGGTGGCTTCACAGGGCTTAGATTTATAAGAAACTAAAACAAAAACAAAACAAAACAAATCCCCAGAGCCACCGCCCAGGCAAGCCACTTGTGCAGGGCCGCCTCACACACACCACACTTGGGTGAAGAGCCTCCGCCCGCCTGCACTGGTTCCTGCCATCTGAGCAGCCCTGATAAAGCAGCTTCTGGAATCCTATCTCTACCAATAGGGCCGAGGCTTTCCCAGGCCAACTGGAGCTGTTTGGCTCTGACCAACGAGAGCACCTTTATTCTGACCAATCAGGACAGTGTCTTTTGGTCCAATCAAACTATGAGGATTTAGAGTCCTCATTTGCATGAGGATCAGGGACGGGGCAGAGATTTCTTTCTGTGGAAGTCGGCTCCTCACTGGCTCTGAAAGCACAATCTCCCTTTCCACTGACAACTGCAGAGTGAGTTTCCTTGGCTGGAGCTGAAACTCCAACATGTCTCTCAGAGCAGCTGGCGCCGTCTAGCTGGAGCGGGGCCTGGCCCCAGGGCCCCTTTGCTCCGGGGCTGCCTAACCGCCCTGCTGCTTTCCCAGCTGTGTTGTATCAACCACAAGCTCTTCCACAGCCCTACTCTGCTCCCAGCCGAGCTGCAACCCAGTCGGGCTGTTTGCACTGAATAGTTTCCTTCTTCGCCCCGCCCCAAATCAGGAATTCCTCTTGGTGTTGAACAGGTGACAGTGACCTCTGGCTGACACACAAAATAGTTTTTAAGTTTTACTATTCAGGTTTGGAAAGGTGCATTGTGCGCGCACGCGCGCACGCTTTGAGAATTTGCACGGGTTTTAGCTGTGTGATTCCACTTCTGGTAACCAGCAGCAGCAATTCCCTGACTCCGGCCAATCAGTGGGCACTAGATGGCCCAGGTGGTCCCGAGCGGAGCAAGGGCGTGGTTACGAGTTACAGCACATTTGTAGCAAAGCGAAGCATTTAAGCTTCATTTCCATTAATTGTGAAAACTTGA